GAAACTATATAGTTCGGCTTCCAGCCGTGCGCGATCTTTCACTATGGGAAGGCCTTTACTAACGATTTTTTGAAATTTTCAAATGTATATGTCTGGCTTCCAAATTCCCCTAATAAAAATTTGCCTATATTTTTTCCACCATAGCGCGGCCTGTCCTCTTAGTGCTGATGTGGCGATGGCAACCTTTTGTCTTTCAGGGAACAGGGTAGAGCTGAAAGTGGTTTTCTAGACCTTCTAGAAATACCGACACCGAATTTTTTTCCGTCGAAATGGACGTTTGGCTTGATTGACGCTCTCAAAGTCTGGACCAGGTATCCAAATCCTTCTAACTGGCTTGTCATTTCTTGGTGTTGTCCAGCGGCTTCCATCCAATTTTCGGCCATTTTCAGTTCGATAAGTGTTCGGGCGCCAATGTAACGTTGCGCGCCTCCAACTTGCACGCAACCAAGAGGTGACTGTGAAAACTGGATAAAAGACAGAATCTTGTGAAGGGTTTAAGTCCCTTTTTATTCAACGTAATAAATTACAATTGCGTGCTCTTGACGCTCACAGACTGCGCCAACTCGGCGGTCAAATAAAAATAATAACCTGAAAAGAAACTAAAGACAAGATTCTAACTACGAGGCTCTCTAAATAAAATAACTAACTCACCGCGTTTTACAATACCGCTGCTAATTCAGCAGACTTGAAGCTCACTTGAACGATTAACACTACTTCTTCCCGCCAAGCACATAGGCCGAAACGCGGGGTTCTTCAATTTCTCGCTAACTACCTAACTACCTCCGCGCTCGTGAAGTAAGAATATCACACACCGAACTCGTTTCCTTCCTATTTAAATCCTAATACTTCCGCTGATAATTTGAATCCTTGCGCGTTCTACTAAAATTTACATATTCTGGCATTGGCAGTTCCAGGGGAAAGTAAGGCTTGACAGGAAAGATAGTTTAAACTTAAAATAAATGTTAGTTAAAATAAATATAAACCCTACAATATAAAAGGATTCTGTTTTAGTATTTACATTGAAATCATAAGCAATAATGTACGATAGGTACATTTGTATTGTTAGGTGTGAGTTCGTAATGGCTTAAATGCACACAGAACCCATGATAGCTTGCTAAAATTCATTTTACGAAAAGAAACACTACATGTCTGGAAATTTTCCTCAAAATATTTGTACAACTCTTCTCAGTATCACAGAGCACAATCAGTAGACATACATCAGACTACTAAGAATGTTAAACACAACTCGATGCAAAGCTTATCTAAAGAGCGCAGTTCACACGGAGATATCTCAATACTCGGAAGTCGACTCTGAACTGAAAAACTGAGAACAAATGCTTTGTCAGGTCTTATATAGTTTCACTCCGGCCACCAAGAAATCTCTAGTACCTTCGATTTTTCGAAATTACGGGAAGGCATACACGGTTAAAGTTACATATAAGTGCCGGATATGGCTAGAGTTACATATAGTAATCAACTGTAATTATTCAATTATCATATCCATTATAGTTATAGAGAGACTGGACCAAAATGTCGCCATGTGGCCAAGTTTGGCGACTTTTGGTGATCTGTTACCAAAATTGGCGACAAAAATTAGTCGCTGAAACCATCGCATATTTTTTGCAAGGCTTTGCTTCTTCAGGCATTTCATGTTTCATTATATAAAACTCGTAACAGTATCAGCATAATCCCTTTTAATTTTTCGGTGTTTTTTACGTGTTTTTTTTACGTGGGTTCATACGGAACAACCTTTTTTACTCAGAATTGCATACATCTGAGCATTAATGAAAATGAGTGCAATATGTAATTCAAGGTTACTGTACTACAAACTTGCTCTTATATGACGTCATTGACTACTAAAAGTCTGTTCAAAAGGAACTTCTTTCCTATTCTCTTTACCTCTTCGTTTCTCCCACTTCTGTAGGTAAGTAACATCAGCGGTAAGAAAAGCCTAAACTTGCTTGTGTACCGACCTTGGAATACTTCAAGAAATGTTTCGGCACTTAGGCTTATTTTACTTTATATTAAAAATTACTAAGCTTGTAAAAAAAATTGCTCCTGCATCAGTATATTACTTCGTGAAAGGGAGATAAGAAAGTAATCTTGAAATACTTTTTATTTATATCCTCTGTTACGATCTCGGGTACAACTACGTGCATATAATGTGCATAAAATGCAGTCAAGTCACTTATGATTTATAAATGTAAGAAATGACCTTATTATATATTAAGCAGAATATAACCAAGAGGTAAATAACTCAGAATTAATATCTTTCTGTAGTGGAAAACCCACTAATAGAAAAGCATAAAATGAAATTTTTAAAATAAAATCTGAAATAAGATTTCCTGTGTGATCTTTTTATTCATTATTCGTTTAAATAAAGAGTGTTGTCCTACGATGGCTTCTTTACTCTAAATATTGGCCTCTGAACAACAAATGGTAGCAGCGCCGTGGTTTTGTCAAGAAGAATTGGATATAAAATATCAAGTCGAAACCGAAACTGTCTTAGTGGAAGCCAAAAATGGAGAAGTGGAACGTTCCCGAATTAACTGGAGAGAACTATTTTATTTGGGCATTGAAAATTAAAGCTGCCTTATCACTGAAAAGACTTGACTTAATAATTTCGACAGCAAAACCAGAAAACTTAGACGAGAAAGGTGAAAGATTGTGGAATGAGAAAAACGCGGACGCCGTAGCATATATAAAACTTTCACTATCGGATCAACAGATTCTCCACAGAAGAGAATGGAAAAATTCTTTGAGGAAAAATAAAGTCAACATTTACGGGACAAGCCGAAGATCGAAAAATAGATGCTGGTAATGAGTTAAAAAATTTATAAATGAAGTTGCATGAGTCGGCTAATGATTATATCGCAAGAGCGAGAGGAATGGCAACTAAGTGCCAATCGCTAGGCCTAGATGTATCTCCTCGGGAACTGGTGTTTTACACAGTCCGTGGACTTCGTGGAAAATTCTCTCGAATTAGGGAAATTGTAAAAACTCAGCGTGAAAAAACAATTGACGAAGTACTCGAAATACTCCGTGAGGAAGAGTCCGTTCACAATTCAACGAACGGGAAACGACCTGATGGAACCAACGCAGGGGCGTTCATATCAAGAAGGAATAAAAACTATAAGCCAAGAATTTGCTACATTTGCCGACGGCCTGGTCACATCGTGAAGGACTGCTATTACAGAAACAAGAATCCAAAAAGTGAGTTTGTAGGGTTTATATTTATTCATGACTTCTCCGGGATTCGAACTCGAGCCTTTCGGCACGGCAGTCAGCGACCACTGTACTGGTTGGATGGCACCTTACACTTTTAAAGTGCTCAAATGTGGTGCAAACGGTTTCAAATTATCCATTCGCTGAAAAATAGCTTTAGTCTCAATTCATCGTGTGAAATCAGCATTCATGTCTGATACAGAATTGGATACTTACGCGTCTGATATTTTAAAATCTACATCTGCAAATCAAGCCCAACAAAATATCTTCAAACTCGCTCTGGCATACATGTGCATTTCCTTGATTATTACGTATCATTAGGATGATAATGGAATAGAAGTATGTAGCGAACCGCACAAAACTAAAAAATTCGTGTGTGCGGTCCGCTTGGTCGCAGTCTTTACGCGGACATTGCATGAGCAATAGCAGTTTCAGTTATGCCATCAACTGACATTACAAGAATCCTAACTTCACGATAAGTCAAGAGATTTTAGCGATTTTGCATTGTGTATGTCATCAAGGCTAATCGTTTGGAAAAAGGCTGACGTACCAATGATACTGTAGCCCATCTAATATCGTCTTCGACTGTAACGAATCTGACCACGTAAAACCCAACCAAAAAAATCAAAACGGTGTAACTTATTCAGTTCTTCAAACTGTTTCAGCCTAATCAAAATCCCATTATGTCCTGAGACCAGCGGTTTTCAACATTTTGACTAATGAGCAGCATCCTAACAAAAATTGAAAACCTTTAGTACTACCACCAACACGCTTGAACAGAACTCAGATAGCATAAATTTGCGAGTGTTAGAGAAAAAAATTTAGTCAGGATGTTGGGGATTTAATTTTAGAATTTAATAGTTAAAAATACTTTGCTTCTTTGCATACTACCTATTTTTCTCTTGCGTACCCAACGGTTGGGAACCCCAACCTTAGACGTTCGACTATAGCGACTCTATCCGCTAGTAAGATACTCGGATAAGAAGGACAATAATTATCTTTCAGATAATTTCTTTCTACGTATTCAATATTCATCTTTGTCGTTATTGTGTTGTTAATACAGCTTCTCGTAGATATATAATGAACGTGCTTTGAGTTCCATATGCAGTGAGTAAAACGCAACAAACACCAGTTACCACATACAATCTCTCCATTAGCGCAGCACAGTCACCCCAAGAGATCACTCACTTATCGTTTTAAATAAAGCAAATTGTGTAAGTGCACTTTCATATAATACATGTGTAAATACTTACATCTGCTTTTAAAAATGGAAACTATACAAAACAACTAGCAAGAATTATCCGAAATAGAACTAGGTCAGATAAACACTATATTTCTCTATCTGAATTTGATGGAAGTCAGTTTTTAAACAGTAAAAATATGATTACCTAGACTATTTAAATATAAAACCAACCAGAAATTTAGATGTAAGGCGTGCATTAGTAACAGCAAGTAAATATAATCAAACGAGCTATTTGAAAATTATCACATAAAGTATCGACCCCCCCCCTTAATAGCAATCTCAACTCTCTGCTAACTTTTCAATTTATTAAAAAAATATGGGTAACTAAAAAAAGAGGAGAAATAATACAAAAAGCACTTGACTAAAAACAGCATAGAAAATAAGCTTGTCCATATCAATTAAGATATTGTTTGTTTTACAGAGAAATAGCATTAATTTAAGTTGTATCAAAATAAATATTTGACATATATCGTTTGTTATTTATGCAGCTATTCCTATTTTTATTTAATTTTAGAAAGGTACAAGCACTTACGAGAAAGTTCCCAATGGAATAATTAAAAGGCCAACTGTCATCAAGTAACTGACACTGGGAAAGACATCTATAGTAGCGTTGAAAACTTTGGTCACCGCAATTGTTCCAGCCATTGGCAAAATAGCTTCACAGGTTGCCAGAAAAGAGAACACTCGACCTAAAACGAAGGAAAAAGTGATCTGGATGAGAAGAGAATGCTTATCTTTTTAAATTTTAGTTTCAGGTTCTCTAAATTTTGATTCCATTTGTTTTTTTATACTCCATTAATTAATCATCAATTCATGATTTTATTCATTAATAGTAAAGTTTGTAATTAGTAAATTATACAAGATTCATTATTGGAAAAAACCAATATTAAAGTCACAGTGAACAAGATACCTAATGCTCACTAAAACTCAATTTAGTTCCTTCATATTAAATTACCCATCAATAATTTATTTTTGAATAAGCTCTGATTTGGGAAAGTTCAAAGACCAAATAAATTAGAATAGAAGAGAAATACGCCAATATGACAATCAAAAATTAAATACCAAATAAATCTTGAAACAAAAACGACTAAAGACGGAAAAGAACTCCCTTAAAAAAAAGATCGTTAATGTATATTCCGTAAAAGCAAAGTGTTAATTTAGTGTACTAATTTTTACATACCGTAAAAACTCATGCGTTTAAGATAAACTTGATATGTTAAAGTATTCCCCCCCAAAATATAATGAACTGGTTTAAGGAGCTATGTTTTCAGGCAAATTCAATAAATGAATATAAAACTTAAGTAATGTGCGATAAGTTATCTTAATGTATTTTTAAATGATAGGTTGCGCATTTAAGAATGTTATGCGCTTTAGAAGGCCATTTTATTAGAAAGAAGCATCATTCTTATATTCGGACCGATACAGCGTCGCAAAAGTTTTAGAAGACAAAAAATTTATTTAATTAATAATAATTCAGTATACTGCTTGTTTAATGCATAGTCTTTGTTACTGCAAAATGTCATATGTGAAAAAATGTTAGTTTTAAAATTATGGCGCCTTTCTATATACACAACGATATCTACTTCTGCAATATCGTATGTGCATGCAAATTAATTAAGAACAGGCGTGGTTCTGTCACCTTATGGTTAAACATTGATTTGGCTAGATTTGATGGGGGCCTTGCTCTTAATGAAATCTCCCATATGGATAAAGTCTTATGAACCATTTCTATTTTCTGCTTTTCTTGAAAAACCACTTTTTTTACTTACCTTAATAGTATCAACGAAGTATGAAATATAAATATTCCAAGGTAGCAATCACACATTAGATATTTTATAAAAATCCTTAATTATTGTAAAACATTTACAGGCGAGCTTATTTTAAGGTTTTATTGTCATTTTCAAAACACTCAATGCTTTTACTAACATTTTATTATTATCCATATTTATAACAGATTATGAAGAAATTATTTGTAATGTATAGTTTCATTAAGTTTTGTGTATATTTGTTTGATAATGGTTTACTGAAAAATTCGTATCAACTTACCAAATTCGTCTTTGTCCAGAATCTTCGAAATCGCAGATCGTACAGACAGTGTACTAAATGGTGTCACGAATCCAACTACGTTTCCTTAAAAAAAGGTGAGATTTAATGACACTGTTAATATGCATAATTCACTTATATTTCTTAGTAACGTAACATTTATATGCGTTCATTAAGGAAAGGCAATCTCGTCAAAAATGCTACTATAAAAAATATTTTAATAGATTCACTGAAATATTTTACGTTCTATTAAATAGCCAACCTATTGTGAATTAATTAATTAATTAATTAATATAAATAATAGGCAAGATCCATTAGATGCATGTTGAAGCACATCAAGCACAGAATTCAAATAATTCGCAGGTATGTATTTTTTTTTACGTTTCCAACTTCACCTTCTTTAGACTGATATGATTTAATTACTTACTTAACATGAAAATTACTGTTGTAGAGCCTGTTGTAGGTACTGTTGTAGGTTTTCTTTTGAAGCAGGAGGCGTGAAAAGTGTGCAGTGCCTTCGCCGGGAATCGATCCCTGGACCTCTCGAATACGCGTCAAGTATGCTTCAAATTACACCACGAATGCATACGGAAAGGAAAGAAAAATGCCTTATGCTGTGATAATATTTGAATCAAAGTATACGATATTTGTCCTTCAAATGAAATGAAACCTTTCTGCTTAAAGTATCCGACCTCGTTCGGGTACCATTTTTTTTAAAAATGGTTTTTATTTTAACTATAAACATATTAATTTGAAGATAAGATGAGTGATATTAATTTGAAGATTAATGAGTGAAAACAATTTAAAACGTAATGCTAAGTAATTTTAATTTTGAAAAATAATGAAAAAAGGATAATTTTTGCTTAAATTTTGCCTTTACGGCAACAACCACGGTGAACAATGTATATAAATATGCAGTTTTTTAATTTGTATTTATATTTACACTTGTTTTGTATGCAATGAAGCAAAATAATTAAGAAATATTCATAAATTCTTGAGATATGTCAAAATGTATAGTATTTACTGTATATTTTCCTATTATTGCATCCAAAATCTAAAAATAAAAAGTAACAATTCAACTTCTAATTAATATTTCTAAAATCTTCTGCTTCAGAGCATGCATCAGATTATATGAAACATGTATAGAAAGTATCATTAAATTTTATCCATAAAATTTTGAGTTATGGCTGTTACCATTGGCAATATTTACAGAAAAAACATTTTCAGAAAACAAGTTTAAAGTTTTCATAAAACAATTTCTTAGTGAAAGAAGCATCCCTGATAATTAAAATTCCCCTGCTTTGTAACTTAACACCTTGTTTTTTTTCTTCCCACACTTTGCACCTTTTCTTTCGAACAAAGCATAAGTTTTCTTTGGGTTTTTGTAAAACTTGTGGAATGCCACCAAAAGTCATGATTTTGCACTTTATCAAGTTTTCAAATTACCTGCTCAGTGTAAAATTCAGGGCACATACCTAACCTTGAAAATGCTTCAAGCAAACCTATAAATCCATCATTAAATAACCCAACACTTGCATTTGCTCCAAACATTAATATTCGCAAGTTTATGAATGTTCTTTCAGAACAATTTGCAATAAAATGCCATTAAAACGTTCCTTGATATTTTGAGTTTTGCCATGTAGACACTTTTTAATAACTCTTGTTTATGTAGTCAACTCCATATATGTAGGTTTAATTAAATTCAAAATATATATTGATATACCAGAGGTTTTTTTTGCCTAATTTTTTCTGATTCTGATTTTTTTCCTGATTTCTGCAATCACATTCATAGTTGCACCAACTCATTGATTATTGAGGACAGGGCATTGGCTTCGAAGAAGAGCTACAATGGAACAAGCAGCTAGTACAACCTGCTGCATCTCAATTAAGTTTCCAAACATTGACTTCTAATTGCAATCCCTAATTCTGCAGTTTATCAATAAAAGAATCAGTCAGTTTACCTTTTCCTTTCAATTCAGGAGCGGAGATTTTTACTTTTCGTAGTCCACTACCAACACCCTTTTCTGTACATGTTCAATGCATTCCACTTTCTTGACCTGAATCTTTACCATATATATCTTTCACAATTAAAAAACCCTTAGAATTCCCCATCCTCGTAATACTCCATGTGTACTTCAGCTTTCGTAATGTAATAGATCATTCAAACAGGGATAAGCACCAACTGCTTCCATACCCTGAAGCTGCTTCTTTATAATTTGCAAAACAATTATATTACGCTTTACATATGTCGTGCTGAAGATTGCATGCAATTCTGTTTATTTTGTTGCAAATGATGCAAAAATGTGGCATAGCTTTCAAATCAAGCCCTTTGTCAACACTAATCGACAAAGCAGCAACACATACATTCAACGTCGAATACCCTCTGCGCCAAACTAAATACGAAATTATGGGAAAAAACTAACACCAGATTCTTAAAATATATTACAAAATATCTAAACTTAGCACGCAGGTTTATAATTTACAAAATCTTGATGATAAATAAAGTTTCTAAATAGGTATATCTATTTAAACGCTCACTTCCGGCTCAGAATATTGGAACTTCCGGTTTATTCAGTTACAGAAAAATGCTTATAACTTCAGTTCTAATTAACCTATCAACAAGCAAAAACTTGTATTTGATAGCTAAAGATATATTCTTTAAGATAATGTAATAAAGTAAAAATCGAAATTTTGACCGAAAATCGTCTTTTGTACGAAGTCGGATACCCTACAGAAACCCTATTGTTGTGAAAACGCAACTTCATACACAGGCTTTATGCATGATAGGCCTTTCTTTGCGTTTCATTTACCTGGTCGGATATAGATGATGGATATCTTACATAAAACAATAACTTGAAGGAGGCAATAAAAATATAGATCATAACCATAATCGCACAAAAAAGGAAGTAGCAATATTCAGAGTTGGGTCCAGTTCACTACTTATGCTATAACATAAAAAAGGAAAAGGAGCCTATTAAGAATTATTGAGAAAGAAAATCAACGAGATCATAGAGTTCATAATTTATATAGAAATTCTTCGGACCACTAGATTAATTTTGAGTCATTTACCCATGGATACATAATTCACCAGATTTTTCATTACAGAATTCCAGCCAAATATCATAGTGTACGGTGCATTTGAAGATTTTTAAGATATAATCGAAAATAATGTTCATGCGAGCGAGAAATTAGAAAAAGTGTTGTCTACTTAGTGTACAGGTGTGGCATTCTTAGAAGAGTTGAAGCGAAAATTTAAGTGGGTAAATATTCTTTTTTCTGTACTTAGCTGTCTGGCCATTAGATGACAGTTTGAGTAAAAAATATTAAGTATGTGTTCAAATTAGTTGGTGACATTTAATATTATAACCGGGTCTTACAACGCTTCTTAAAGAAGAATTCAGTTTTTTCTTTATTCCTTATAGAATGTTGTTTTTCAGAAAAATCATTTTATTGTTGCTTCAAAGCTGCTTTAAGAAGAGATACGCGAAACAGTAAATAAAAAATCCTAGTTCATTACTGACATATCTTTCAACATAAGAAATTGCAATAACTTTTTTGAACTTATATGAAGTTATCTGCAATGAAAATATAATACAGACATGTAAATGCAATGCATAGTTCTTCTATAAAAAATTATGTATGAAAATCGCATGTAGTAAATTTATGATTCAAATCATTTCTTTGTTATTGAATTGATTATAAAATTATTTCCAAGTTGCATAGTTTCAGCTAATTATAGAGAATAATAATAATAATAAAAGATACAAAATAGGGAAATAGAGAGATTACGATATTAAATAGGTATTATGCAGAAATAAAATAATTATCCTCAAATACTGTACATTATGTACAGGCATAATAACGAGGCACATAATGTACCGCATAAGAAACATAGTTCATTAGTTATAATTTTGCTCCAAATTTCCCAAAAAAACGTTTATTTGGATATATTACACAATTCATTATTAATAACAAAATGAAGGTAAAATTATTACGATATAAGTTTATCTCCATCAGTTGTAAAACATTATGATTTGTTTTAACTGGGGAACGATTAAATGGTTAGCGGATCAATATTTCAAAAACAAAAAAAAAAAAAAAAATAAAAAGATTACAGGGGTTGGACAAAAATATGGAAACACCTTTAAAAAAACATGTTTCTTTGCTTAATATGGTGTAGGAAACCCGTTGGCATCCAAAACAGCTTGCAGTCTTCTCGGAATGGATAAATACAGTTCCTGTATGTTTGCCAAGGGAATATTATACCATTCTTCCTGCAAAACGGTGGCAAGTTCAGATAACGATGTTGGCGGTGGATAACGAGAACGCACTTTCCGTTCCAATGTAGACCACAAAGGTTCGATAATATTCAGGTCTGGTGACTGTGGTGGCCAGGGGAGATGGGACAACTCATCCTCGTGCTCAGAAAACCAGTCCTGGACAATGTGAGCTGTGTGAACAGGGGCTTTGTCGTCTTGGAAGACACCATCACCATCGGGGAACAAAGTTTGTACCATGGGATGAACTTGATCGGCCAAAATGTTCACATAAGTCTTGGCAGTCATGTGCCCTGACACAGTTATCATGGGGCTAGCAGAGAACCACGATATGGCTGCCCAAACCATAACAGAACCCCTGCCATGTTTCACTCTTGGCAACAAGCAGTCTGTATTATAGGCTTGAGATGGCGTTCTCCAGACGTAAACTCGGCCAGAAGTGGGAAACAATGTGAAAGAAGACTCGTCAGACCATATTACTCGCTTCCACTGCTCTATAGTCCAGGCTTTATGACTTAAACACCACCTTTTTCCTGTTACGGGCATTAGCATCACTGATGAGTGGCTTCTCAAATGCAGCATGGCCAGCAATTCCCTATTTATGAAGCTCCCTTCTAATTGTTTTGGTACTCACAGGGTTCGGTAACACAACATTCATTTCAGCAGTAAATTTTGCAGCTGTGGTCTTCTTATTTTTCGTCACAATTGCCCTTAATGATCGTCTGTCACGATCACTCAGGACACACTTTCGTCCGCGCTGTGATTTAGCAGATGATGTTTTTCCGCTTTTCAAATATGCGGAATAAATCT